TAAAATAATTAATGAGAAAAAAAATAAAATGTAGAAAATTTTACAAAACAATTCAACCTCAAACTGCTCACCAATTTAAAACATAAAAGACATCAAAAAATATATGAAACTGTTTTAAATTAATTGTATTTTATTAAAAAAAAATCAATATCTTGTCGGAAAAATCTTGTAGATAGTAATAATATGCCATGTAGAATTACAGCAAAAAGAATATTATTTTTGTGGGAGAGTGAATATAATAAATGGATAACATATTTTTAATATGTGGAATCAGATGAAAGGCAATCCAAACTAGTGAATAGTTTTGGTTTGTTATTTGATAACAAGAATATTTATTTATTATTGTCAAAACTAGCAAATATTTAAAATCAATCTCATATTAGAAACTTGCAATTTTTTATATATTTCTGTAGGTTTCTATATTTATCTTTAATCATCATCTCTGCCACAACTTGTAAAGTTTCTCAATTTAATTATTGTAATTATTGTCTATTTAATGAATTCGATGTCATGGATTCACAAACTTCAATTCTTTGACAAGACATTTCTAAATAGTCAAGAACATCAGGTTCTAAAGCCTGTAAGCTTCAATTGAAGTATTTTTTTACAAATTTTAAAAACCGTTGTTCTTATATATTCATTCATTGCATTATTACTATAAATTAAGCCTCTAATTCAGGAAATTGGTATTTTCTCAAACCAGTGCTTTCAGGATTATCTTTACAACCAATTGTGGCAAACATCAAACAATAAATTATTATTACGCAGCTATAGTAACAACAGTGGGTAATAATACTACTATTAGTAATATTTGTTTCTTTGGGGAGAAAAACTCACAGATCTATGATAATAGCAATAGATGATGATACTTCCATTGGTAATATTTATTTACTTAAATGAATCTATGGTTAAACAATGAATGGCCAACTATTATTAATGAACTTTGTTGTCATTATTTAAATCTTATATGTCCATTTGTTAGAAGGATGTGAACAATAAAAAGATTCATGATTATTTAACATTTTTTTTTCATATAAGATGGAATGATTAATATAAAATATATTGTACAGCTATACATGAAGTCAAAATGTTTCGACT